GCTGGATTTGAATGGAAAATGTAATTAGGTAAAAACTGAATTTACCGGTCTGCATGTGGAGGCTCATCTTTTCCTTTGCCTTCCCTCCCCTTGCTCCCCCTACCTCTTAAAATCTCTTTTAACTTCCTTTTTCTTTATACCAACCACCAATGAAATGCCAAATTCCCCTAGCTTGGTTAAATTATTCATTTCTTTGGAATGACCCAAATGTAAAAATAGAGCAATGCAGCAGGGACATACGATACTTTTCTTTCAGCTCTGTCTTTGTGTTTTGCCTCCCTTTCTCCATTGGGCCATGTCTTTTCTCCCTTTCCCTCAGTACTTTTCTCTCTCTCCTTTCTTCAGACTCAACAATCCTTAAAAAAGACTTTGTGAGGGATGGACGGAAAGGAATTGGGCATGGGAAGTATATGGTTTCATAATGAGAAAACAAAAGGGGCGAGCCCCCAGAAATTTCACAAATTATCCTGAAGAAAATTAAATTTGCAGGTGGTTTGGGGCCATGTTCTAGGTCTTTGTAATTCCACTCTGCTACAAGGGTGGTATGTACCTTTTCAGTTTACTGTTGCTTTTGTTTCCATTTTCTCCTGTCTGTCTTCACCTGCACTTACTTGTTCATGACTTTGAAAATAAACTTTTTACAGCAGGGACTGCTTTGAGGTTTTGTGCGAGTGTGGTGGTTTCCACACGTGATATTACCAGGTCGATGGTGATAAAAATAGAAGTCATCATCCCTCTGTGGAGAACTTGTCTCAAATTTTGAGACTGTGCTCCTATTTAAAACAGAGAAAAGATTGGCTTCTGGGATAGCGATAGTGCTATTACAGTGTTTGGGTGATAGGTGTGCATTATTTCTTAGGTACAGCAGTACTGCTACTTGCAGATTAAAGAGTCTGCCCACAGCATCCTGAAAGGGGGACCTAGCTGTGTGCCACCTCAGGTCCGTGCCCACATTCCAGTTCAGTTTCAAGTTAGCTTGGGCATCTGCACTATGGATGCTGACAATGCTTCCTTCTGTACGGGGGGGCGGAACAGAAGAGATGGCAGTGATTTTTTTTTTTCTTTGCTACTAAATAACATTGAACAGCAGCTTCAGAGTAGAGTGAAGCACGATGACATAGGTTAAAACACTGGTTGGAATGAATGTACCCCCTGCAATGGCTGCATCTTTTTTGGATGGAAGTGTTTTTGTCATAAATGACAGCTACACTTGATTCTTTATTACTAAGATGTGTTTTCATATTATTTGTAAAATAAGAGATGTACCCTGCATTGCACTGTAAAGTGTGGTATAGGAATCATTAATGTGGAAAACAAGCATATGCTTTTTCTATAATATTTCTCTAAGTAAGTAAATCTTCTGGATGTATCCAGGCCAAAAAGATAATGGTCTCACTGTAGTGATGACACAGAGGTCACCGATCGTGGAGAAAAACAGCAAAAGAAGATGGAAGAGAAAGTGCAGAGGCTTTTCAGCATGTGGATGAATTTTTTCTTCTGCATCCTTCCTTTTGGGAAGTTGAAAACATGGCATTTCTGAGCAGGATGTTTTCATGTGGTTGGTTGGTTGGTTTGTTTGTTTGTTTGTTTTGGAAAGGATAGTGTAGGAACTTATGTTAACAAGAACAAAACCATATTTTTTTTTCTGCCAAAGGAAATAGGCATCTTTTAATTCCTGAAGTGATTCTAGAGGTCAGTAAGATTCAGGGACTACATGTATCTATCTCATTGCTGCTCTTTCAGTCTATAAGCAATTAATTGCTTTGGCCTGCCAAAGAAAGAGGTAGCTTATTGAGAGATATATATTAGTTGAATATTTGTGTTTGATTATTGCCTAACTTACTAATTGGCTGCTTTCCCCTAAATAACTCATTACAGTTTTAGAATTTCAAATATTGCCCCCTCTTGTTGGTAATAGTCTGAGCTTCACTACAGATTATCTGTGATCACATCAGCACAAAAATGTAGAATTTTTGTTTAAAACTGAAAACCAAAGTACCTTTTGTAAGACCAATACCAACAGCAGCTCAAACTTGTTCAGGATTCAGTCAGAACATGCTAAGTTCACAAGTCTCATGAGCAGGTCTTCTCCAACGGCTTAAGAGAACAAGTGGGAGAGGTGAAATCACACGTAGACAACAGAGGGAACTGGAGTTCTTATGCTTCACCTTTCTTCTGATAAATGTGCTGTAATACTAGGTAGTGATTTAGATCATTTACTCCTACTGTAATAGCATAAAAGCCTATTCAGGCAGAAGCTGTATTACGAATCTTTCCCTTCCATTCTTCCAGTTCCTCAGCTAGTTCCTGGCCCAACTGGAAAAGTGGCTGCAATGTTACATATATGGACATTCTGTGGCTGGGTGGTGAGCTGTTTTTTTTTCCCCACCATGTTGTTTAACCAGGCTCAGAGAAGTCCTGAGTAACATTAAAGTGCTGCCTCTGACAGCTCACAGCGTTTTGCCACAGGTGTAGTTTCCCCCAAAGGTGTCTGGGTCTGAACGCTGAAGAGAAAAGAGAATAGATGTCCTTTCTTGTCCTTGACAAGAAAGGGGTGAGTATCGCTTAGCAGAGGGTTTATTTAACAGCCTGCTTGTATGCATGGGGTAATATCAAGCAGTAAAATGTTAGTGAGAAATAAGTTTAGCAGGGGATACTACTTCCACACTGCCCAGTATTAAGCTGTAAAAATCATCCCTGAAATACGCCTCCTTCTGTGCTGAAGAATTATCAGTAGACTATAATTCACCATGTATTTCTGAATGCAGTGGTATGCAAGAGAAAGACAGACCACTGCAGCAGGTGATGTGGGAGTAGAGAGATTACTGAATAAGAAAAGCTAGAAGAAGTTACTTTTCATGACACTAGGGAGTCACGTTTCAAACTTGGCTTATAATTGTATGTACTTTACCTGTCTCTGAATTTCTCTTATATATATTAACGTTATAGCAATCTATATGAACAAGATGGGCAGCATGCCAAAGGGGGGGTTTGTAATTTTCAAGTACCTCCGTATCGTTATTGGAGAGGGGAGGAGGATATCCACCAACAGTGTAACTATGTGGCAATTCCAGGGAAATTGATTATTATTAGCTTTTTATGATCACACTAACAAAGTCAATGATCCAAGATGAAATAGCAAAAATTAGCGCTCAAACAATATTCAGCAACAAGGTATCACCAGGTGAGAGTGGCTGTATCTGAAATCAGATAATTCCCGAAACTGAAATGGCCATCTCCCACCAATTATAACGATGGATGTGCTCTATTAAAGCCTGATCCACTTTAATGGGGGACTCCCAGGATGAGAGGCCATGTAAGTATGCAATGACACATACAGTATCGAGAAGTGGGTGGGTGTTTATTCTAAATACCCACATCACTGGGGTATTTGCACCTTTAACCAACAGAGAGAATTACAGGTAGTGAATACAGATCAAGTTCTTCAAGTTGGTTATTGCTTTAACAAAATCTTTTGTCACTTTTTCTAACATCCATCTTCAGTCCCCCAAACACAGCATGGGGACTGGATACCTGCATAGTCAGAACTATCACTTGCCAGCCATGTCTTCTTCCCCTTTGAGGCTCCGTGGTTTTATAAATAATAATTAAAAACACTTCTCTCTGATGTGAGAAGGCTCTTCTAAAAGGAGAGCAAGTTGCTGCAATACAATAGCGTAATATTTTTGAAGGTCATAATAATAAAGTAGGGGAAAGAGAATAATCATTATTGCTCTTTCTTGTAATTAATTTGCTTTCCGATATCCCACACTGCAACTAGAACATTATTCAAGAACACCCATCACAGTGCTTAACAAGATTTAATGTACATTTATTCTTAACATGTGGAACATATAAAGATTTTATACTGAATAAATGAAATTCATTAAGCCAGAGGAAAAGGAGGAATTTACATCAAGTTTTTTCTTTTTTAACTACATTATCTTGAAATACAAATGCAGATTCTTGTCACTGAAAAATCTTTGAAGTTGTGTTTCTTCCTTTTTTTTTTCCTGTATATATTTTTTTTGTCTGTAGACTGGTAACCATTTTCTTAAATCAATCCATACGTAACCATTTCCACACCTTGATTTATAAAGCAAATTGTGATCGGCTGCACTCCCGAAATAGAGCATGACTTTATTATACATACAGAAACTTGTACATTACCCTCAGTTGTTGGTTTTCTGTGTTGGGTTTTCTCTTTTTTCTTTTTTTTTTATTATTTTTTGGAGATATGGCCCAAATGAAAGAAAAAATAATTCTACTATCACTTTGTAGATACCACATCATGAAAAAGAAACTAAAAACTTTGTACTAAAAAAAAAAAATGAGGGTATGTTTAATGTACAACTTCTATATACATCACGGCCCTTAGGCAATAAAAAAATATTTTAAAAAATGATTAAAGGAATTGTGAAGAACTGTCATTGTGGAAGGTCAAAAAAAAAAAGATGTAGACAAGACAGTTCTGGTGAGGAAGCAATTGATGTTTATCATCAGGTTTTGTTTAAAAATCTTTTAACTTGACTTTTTTGTTTTGTTTGCTCCTAGCCTAATGTAACCATTTCTCCTGAGGAGAAACCAGTATCGTTTTGTATTGTGACTACTGACTGACACCCTCCTTGATCCCCTACACCTACATCACTAGAATCTTCTATTGCACAGAGCTTTGGGTGATGGTATACAAGTTTTTTTTTTTATTTTTTCCTTATTTGAAAAAATAAAACACACAGGAACTTGGTATGTTGGTTATTTTTCACCTTCTTGTTTCAAAGTGGTGAGATTTTTTTCCATCATACAATGGTTTGCCATAACATTTTTTTTAAAAAGTCACTAGTTCGCTTCCCAAAAAATATGCAATACAAACATGGAAAAGAACATTGAAAGGATAATCTATGGAAAAAAAAAGTGTGACCTTTGAATGTACTAGACAGCAACTTTGGTTAAAAAAAATAAAATAAAAAGATGTACTTATACACATAGACAGCAAATATTAATTTCATAACTGTTCAAATTAATAATTTCTTTAATTCCCAATTGGTAAATAGTGAATGGGGCAGAGGAGCAAAGATTCTTTTTTTTTCCTTCTTCCTACGTTGGATAAACAAGAACAGAAAACAGCCAGTTATATGTGACCCTCTAATCTCCACTCACACATGCTTGGCTTCTCACTTATGTCATAACTGCCCAATCTGAAAAAGTACATCACAGATGACAGATGCAACCAGAGAGTTCAGGACAGCAGATATTGAGATATCCAGCAAACGACCCTCGTGCAAAAGGAACTCTGAGCGGTTCTCGTCCACTCTAGCCATGGCCAGCAAGGCCTTGGCTGCCCTGCACATCATGTCTACGCTAGGTGGCTCCAGAGGTGGAGGCTGCATGTGCATGAGGTTATGCTGGCTCTGCTGGTACTGGGCCATAGTGACCCCATCCTCCAGGAAGCTTATCAAGTTTCCGATGCTTCCCTTCTGCACAGCTATTGCCCTTGCTGCTAATGTGTCCCCCTGGGCAAGGTTCGATAAGAGCGCCATGGACATTTCTCGGCAGACCGGGTTTTTGCGGTCCCCAACGTACCTAACTAAAGTAGCGTAGAGTTTCTCCTGACGACTGAATGGGGGGGTGGCCAAGATAAGGTCCACATTATTGTCCTGGATACTGAGCTTACACAGGGTCTCCAGCACAAGTCTCTGAGGCGAAAGAACTGAGTTGGGCCCCACGGTTGGAAAAGGATCCTGTGCCTCCGCAGACGGGCACACCATCCAGTGCAGCAAGCCATCCAAAATTGGCAAACAGATGCTTTCTGTGTAAGCAGACAAGTCTAGCTGCCCAGAAATGTTGGCTAATGTGACCAATGTATTATCCCTCAAGACCTCGAGGCAGTCCCACCACCACTCATCCTTGCTGCAGGCCACCCCTTTGTCCTCCTCTTCCTCTTTCTCGTAAGTCTGCGGTGCTCGCTTTCTTTCTGGATGCTCATGGTGAAGGAGGATCAACTTTCCCAGGATCAGCACCAAGCCTGGATGTTTGGACATTTCGGTGTCATTGCCAGGCACAAAAGACAAGCTACGGACGATATTTGACACACAGATGCAGCGTTTGGCCAAGGAGTCTTGCCAGTGAGTTATGGTGCATAGAGGCGTCTCATCTCGGCTCCTTGGCTCATCCTCTAGCAGTTTAATATTCCGGTGGCTTTTGGCTTGATGGATCCCAAAGGGAAATTTACTGCTTTCTGTTTGGGAACCAGAGTTTGAGTCTTCAGGCAATGCTCCTGGCCGAGCTGAGAGGACATCATCAATGGTTGCCGTTATACTTTTTTCTTGCTGTTCCTCAGATTCACCTTTCCCCTCGAGGTCCTTCTTTTTGCTTGGAGAGTTCAAGGGAGGAGGGGCTTTCCTGCGTGGAGGAATCTCCATCTTGCTTTCAAAGTGAGTCTGGATATGCTCAGTTGTGTCACCACCACCAAGCTGCCAGTGGAGAAGTCCACTATCAAATTCCTGAACGCGTCCAAGTTTGTCAGATCGGTCAACAACAAATAGATTATTTTTCTTTACAATCTTTATTGGCAGCTTGTCAAACTTACTGGCTTGTTTTGGCCTCTCACTTGGATCAGCAATGGCACCAGGAGTGGAAAAAACAATGCTCTTTTCTTCTCCTTCTACCTTTTCATCCTCTCCCTCCTCCTCTTCTTCATCAAAATAGTCAATACATTCGTCGTTCTCCTCTTTTCCAGTATCCTCTGCCAAGGACTGGCTATCATCTTTCTTGGCTGCTTTGTGATCAAGTGCTTTGTGGCCTGGATCTCCCACTTCGTATTCCATAAGGATTCCAAAAATGTCAATCAGGCATTTTCTAAAATATTCTACTAAAAGCTCAAGAAATCCAGACAACTGAGGGGAGAAGAAAGAACATAAAAATCAGATAAATATTTTTGTCTGTGTGGAATTTTATTAGGAACGCTGAGGCACACATCTGTGAATATTTCCCTCCTCCTGCTGTGGACTCGTGGCTAGGTCCTGCATGGCAGGAGTCAACCAAAGGAAATTCTTCTAGCATCTGTCTCAACAGTATATAATGTCAAAACATCATGGCTCCATTTGCTTAAATTGTAACAGCTATGAGAAGTATAGAACTTTATTCATATGTCTCCTTTAAGCTACAGTATACATCTAGCCTCGTGCTCTGTCCCCTTGGAAATGTCTACTGTTCTTCATTTTCTGTAGATAGTACTGAAATTTCTAACTCGCTCAGTTTTTCTGATTTGTACTTTTCTTAGATGCCTAAAGTTTACTATTCTTCCTCTTCTCCTTTGTCTCTCAATCTCTAAAGCCAACTGTCCTATAGGAATATGCAGTTCAGGGTCTAGGTACTGACATCCTAGATTAATATCCCACCTCTATTGGAACAGTTCAATTTTTGCCTGGCAATACTTAAAAATTGTTATTGGAGCCTGGTGCTGTTAAGTCACCCTTCAGAAACAGTTTTCATTTAGGTTTAATCCTCTTAATTAACTTTTAATCACTTTCTTATGGCAAGACAGTAGTTGGACTTGGTATTAATTTACCCTCGGTGGCTTTGTTATTAAAAATTCTTTGCTGCTATGATGTATTCAGCCTGATTGTCTGGCTTTTAATGTGTTTTTGTTTTTAATCGTGGGCTAATAGGTTTTCAGCAAAATGTATCCTTTTGTCCATTCTTTATTCTCTTATGATTGCCAAACCCTTGGAAGAATTAAGAACAAACTGATGCTTATGAGCTGCAGGAATTATCAGTCATCATACAGAGTCCTGCCTGCTGCTGGAAATACAGTCCAAGGCAAAAGTAACAACAAAAAAAATTAAAATATGCCTGGTATTCTGTGCAACTTGCACAGAGGGCATTACTGCAATTTCTAATAGAATTCAGAGGAGCTTCACCTCACTTAACTTCAAACACCCACAACAGTTACACACCTAACCTAATTGTCTAGATTCCTTTTAAAATCAATGGTCTTTTACAGGCCATTTCTAGGGTATGATTCATCTGACCTATTTTAGATCTCTACTTCAGGATGAGATGAATCATGCTATAGATATCCCTAGTTCTAAAGTTAGGTGGGATGAAATGTACCATTTGTGCCTGTATTTTTAAAAAAAGGTCATTATATTTAAAAAATGATGAGTTACACTATTAGTAACCAAGGAATGAATGGAGCAGAAAAACTGAATATTTAATGTGTACAAATTTTAGATGATGTGCATTATCAGCATGCCATCTATTACTACCACCTAACAGACCAATGGTTAGAGCAGGGCTGAAAAATACAGGGAGGTAGTGAGGCAAAAGCACACACTGTTAAATCCGGTGTTACTTGCATCCTGTGGACGGACAGTGGATTTTAGCCTTTAAATTGTCAATCTGGTATTTCTGTGCAAACTTAATTTACTGGAAGAAGAAAATAAACTATTATAAAAATCTCACAGCCTAGTATGGAATTACTGAATAAGACAAGTAGTCACCAACAGACAGCCTCAAATCAATTTCATAGTTTTTTGCAAAGCCTTTTACGGAAACACAAGTTAAGCAAATTTACTGACATACTGCTGTTTTCTGGGATTGTCCTTGTACTATCATGAGTGCAAACTTACACATTAAGTCTTCTGTTGGTGATAAAATTCTTATAATCCTATGTGCTCCTTTCTACAAGAGATACGCTTCTTACAGGCTTATTACTTCCCCTATTCGACCTAAAGCTATCTCTTGTTGCTCACTGCTACCAATCATAAAAAAGGGAGGTTTTGCAATATTCAAATTTATGTTAATGATAACCAATTTTAAAGGACTTCAGCATTTTTGTAGGTATCTTATTTCAGTTTTCTTTCCTTGGCAAGTTGAGAAGTATATTGCTTTCCCACCTACCTGAGAGAGGTTGAAAGTAGCAACAGTGCTGTCATCATACAGAAGAATATTAATAGTGTCTAGCGCCCAGGTACTTTCAGCCAAAAGACCAGATTTAAGAGACATCATCACTCTCCAGGCCTCAGGAGTTACTGGAGAAAGAAAGGAGGAGAAGTAAAACAGTATTAGTGCGTCCTTGGAGACCATTAATGAGTTCTGAAAGATTAAACCATGACATTCTGAGGATGCAGAATTTAAATGAAACAGTTACTGAAACACTGTTTAAGACCCAACTTTCACCACTTAGTTCTGGGGAGTTTTTCTGTAACTGCTACTCAGCCTTAATACTGGAGAAAATCTTAACAGGGCTGTTCTTCCTGACTTTGCTGAAGCTGAAATAATAGTACAAACTTAGAGAAGTTGACTACACCAAATAATCGGTAAATAATCAGTAGAGTACTCTGTCGGGAGTGTGCGAACTTGAAGTACAAGAACTTGAATGTATGCAATGTAACAGGAATTCAAGATAAGATACTTGGTAAAGAACAGCGGAGAAACAAACATGACAAATAATATGGAAAGAATAAATGGTCCATTCAAGGGAGGCAGAGATTATAACTACACAGCAGAACAGCATGAGCTTCCATGGAACAAGAACACAAAAAGCTTTGCTCAGGTAAATGTTGTATTGGTGATTTAACAGACATTCTGAAGGACCTTTCAACACATACCATTTGGAAATCTGAGGCAAGCTTCATTTTTAATGCATTTCTGGAGATTTTGGATCTCCATATAAAATACTGCTTTCATTTCATGTCAGATTGTCTGGGATGAGTTTTACCCATCATCCTCACTGATGCATATGTTATTACATTTTTATTGAAGACAATCACATTACAGTTACCAAATTTAACTTTTTTTTTCAAAATAGTCTTAAAATGTACAAGAAAATCAAAATCGAAGTCCCTTTCTCCCAACCCATTTTGGTATTCGTCTTTTGTTTTGATGCTTACCAATATCTTTTGAGGTAATCTTTCGTCTTGGTTTTAAGACTGGTTGGGATGCTTCTACAGAGCCTGGGGGGAAAGTAATTTCTCGCCTGATCGGTGGTGGTTGGGGTGGAGGTCCTGTGACCTGTGACACTGGAACTGTGGGTATAACCTTTTGCATCTTCATGGAGGGTAGGAAAGGAGACTTGCTTGGAGACATACGGTTTTCCAAAGAGCGCTGGAAGGATGCTGGACTTGGAGCTCTAGAGATGTGGTTTGGCATAGAGGGTGGCGTCTGGTAGGATGACTGAGGAGGTCTAGTGATAGGCTGCATGGAGGCTGAGGATGACATATAAGAAGGCTGACGTTGGTTGACATGAGAAGGCCACTGACTCTCGTGGTTTATCCTCTGGTCAGGCACCATCATATCATCAGTGCGATTCATCCCTGGATACGGTGGGGCCTGTGCAGGGCCTCCTGGACCTTGCCTGTTCTGGTAAGGGTAAGGCATATCATTTCGTGTTGGCCACATGTTCTGCTGAGGACCTTCGCTGGAGGATGACGACTGCATGGGGCCGCCGATCATCTGGGGAGGTATTCCATGCTGCTGCATTTGTCCTGGGCCCTGCATCCTCTCCCTGTTATACGGATATGGATACTGTCCCTGCATGGGCCTCCTGTCAGGCCCCGTGTAAGCGTTGCTGTACTGGTTATACATTTCCTGTTGCTGGTTGCCATACTGCATGTTATACATATCCCCTTCATGGCGTTTGGCTGGAGGCCCATACATGCCATCCATGTGTCGCTTATAGTTCTGAAAAAAATTTTGGAATGAAAATGCGTCACTTTTACTCCATACATGATATAAATATATTGGCTGAAAGCTCATTTAAAAACCTGAAGGTGCTTAGTTCTAGAAGGGATAGTGCCGATTCCAGAGTCAGGCACGCAGTGCTATGGTTAGGCTCAATCCAGTGCTTTCTTTTTAAGCCTCTGTTTCGCTGTGCTTATAACTTAATACTAGAAGGAAACTTATCCTTGGGCTAAATTTTCTTACGCTTGCTCTCATTTTCTCCCTTTCCCCTTCCTTTCCTATCTGTCAGATTAAATTCCACTGGTCATTTCAGACACGCATGAAAAGCCAACAGTCCTCACCAACTAAAATATTTTCACTTCTTTTTTAGGCTTAGTCTACTAGGGAGAAAAATCTTTAAAAAATTCAAAACCACTCAGTGAATGTTTTCAAGAGACAAGCAGTGAATAAACTCTTAAAATAAAAGATATGCTGCAAGCATGCATGTCTGAAACACTGGATCTTATGATAGGGCATAGGCTACACAAAGTAGATTTATTAGTAGAAGAAAACATACTGCTGCTTTTGCTACTCTGTGTAATTCCCAGGAACATAGTCCTGTTTGGGCAACCATTCCTCTTCCCAAATCATCCTAATCACATCTAATTTACTGTAAGATTATTACAGCAAATGGTCACATCCAAACGTTCTGTGCTAGTTTATGCAGGTTCTTACCCTGCTGATCAGTAATGAATTAAGCGATGTAACTAACAGCTGCCACCTATGGTTTATTCCCTCTTTGTTTCTCACCCTCTCAAGTGGAGAATGTAGTGTGAAGTAAGCTGCTTTACCTTGGGGGGAGCCGAGTTGTTTTTAAATCATACAAGCTTGAACCTATTTATTTAAGACGGCAGAATAAAAAAAAACACGTTACAGTTTGAGGGGAAGGTGGTAAGGTTTGCAGTGGTCCTTAGTTCCTGTGGGAGTTTGCTCCACAGTTCAAACCCCACTGAGTGCTCTGAAGCAAAAAATGTGAATGAAATGGGTGATTTTTGAATATATGATCTATGGCAAATTCAAAGTTACGGCTCCCCTGGAAACTGTAGCTCAATCACACTGCACAATGTATACTAATGTACTAGAGTCAAGATCAGATGAAATTCTGTATGTATTCAATATGGGTCAGTTAAAACAGCTCTGGGATTTGTAAACTCATCTTCCAACTTTGGTGCACATAAAACCACAAGTACTGTATTGCATGGAAGTATTTTTCCTTTAACTTGCTATAGAGCTGTCTGGCTATCTGAGAAATACCTATTTTTAGCCTTACATAAACTACTTGCTGTAGTAAATTCCACCCTTGGGGCCAATTTATACATTAAGAACTGACTCGGCAGTTGCCACACCTAAAAAGGTGGTGTGTGTTTTGCCCAGTGACTCAGAGTGCTTAAAGTAGACAGTTGGGAATGAAGCCCGTGCCTTTTTAAAAGAAGTTTGCTCTTGCATATGGAGTGGCAACATGCGTGATGGTATCCAGTGCGGAGGACAGTGATGCACCTGAACTCCCCCTCCTGTGTAAAGGTTCAGAAGGAGCCTGAGGCACAACATGTGTCTCTCTCCACCAGGGACGTGGAATTTTGAGATCTTGCAGAAGATAAGACGACACCAACACAGGTCACCTGCTGCATATTAGCTCTCAGGGTACAAGCATTCGTACAGGAATTGAAAAACCTGGCTCCTTCATTAGTCCCAGGAATTCATGCTCCAAGCATCTACTTCCCAGGTCATTCCCTAGCCTTCAGGTTGAAGATGAAGCTTCAAAAGGGCCATTTTTCACTCTCTTCCTGTACCACTATAGAGTGAAATTTAGGAAACTGAAAATAAGCTAGTGGCAACCTAATCTCTAGCTACATGAAGAAGTGGAATCCTCTGGGAGTGGGAGGGAGAGGCAGAGGCCAGCCAGGATCCTTGCCCTTCGTTCTTCACTGCTTTTTGGCATTAATGCATTTTGCATTCAGGAGTCATTTTACAAAGCATATAAACAGCACTAAGGACAGGGCTAAACATATTTTTACAAATTCTAGCTGTCACCTTGCTTAAGTGAACATGTAGTTAATATATTCCCTGCATATGTTAGCATGGAATACCACAAACTGTTCTGTTATATATCTTTACAATTTCCCCACTAAATCACCTAGACCACTAACATATGCTCATCAGAAAAAACAACAAAACAGTTTTTTGATTATGCTATTTTAAAGATGTTACAAACCAAAGAGATAAGCAAGAAATTCTGAAATTGAATTTATATACATTTTCAGTACAGCGCAACCTCAGATCTCCTCTTTTAGGTTTTCCCCGCCTAGATTTTCTAGTAGAACTCTATCCCAAACTGAAAAGGACTACCTGAAATCGTCTGAAAACTAGCTTACATTTTAATTTTTACAGTATAAGGAAATGCTTTCTATTTTGGAAGCTAACTTCAACTTTAATTACTATATGACTGCTAGAAATTAATTAGTGACATGCAGGATGAAACTCTGAAGTCAGTGGAGTTTTGCTATTGACTTACAGGATGGGATTTTGCCCATGAGGTATTAATGATACACGTAACAAAAAATCTTATTAATTAATATAACTTGTGTTTTCAAAGTTATCACACAGTTAGGGAAACTGGAATGTACAAATGTTTGAACTATTTTTAACACTAATAATGTTCTCTCTCATGTGTTTGTACCATATTATTGCTAGGGCTAACATGTGGGGAATATGCCATCTGATCTATATTAAAGATAGGTTATCTCATATGACCCACCACAGCATTCTAAATAATTGGGAGTGCTGCACGATTTACTTTCCTCCAGTTTTCCTTTGGGTTCATTGGGCTGCATGACATTAAGTTAAGACCCTTCGACCTGCCAGCCAAACAGCTTTCCTATTTGTTTCTGGAATTGAGGCAGCATCACTTTACTAACCTACAAATTATACTTTCCCAGTCTGCTGGTTATCACTTGGGACAATCACTTGATACACATCCAAAGTCACAGAACATCTGTTAAAATTTGCACTCTTCCAGTGTAATGAACACATTTTCCTATAGCTGCACATACACTGCTTATCCATATGGGCTGTGATTTTGACCAGAACTACAGTACTCCTCTGTGCCAGAAGACATACATTGTATAAACAAGTTCTTGAATGTATACAGAATTTTGAGGCAACATTATTAAACAAATGTTATGAGCATAGCTGTTTTCCCCTCTCCTACCTGCTGCTGTGGATACATTCCAGGTTGATGTCCTCCATATGGTGGCTGTCCTGATGGAGGTCCTTGTCCTGGAAACTGCTGCCCATATGGTTCATGCCTAGAATGAAGCATTCAAATCAACACTTAGAGCTGCTGGAATTTTCAAGCCACCAGGAAAAGCAAAGTACCCCGATGATCTTGCACCTTGAAGATAATTGCCATTTGGCAACAAGGTGAAGGTACAGTGTAGTATGGTCCTCAGCCTGATGTAGTAAGCTCTGCTGAAGCTGGTAGTGGAAGGAAGGAGATAAAGCAGATAGAAGAAAGGAGGAGCAGTGAAGATGCAGCAGAGGGATTTAGAGGTAGCAGTCAGGAATGGGAACAGGGTATGCTCAGCAAAGGGGTAAGAAAGGCAGCTGCAGCCACTGGAAACACATCTTAGGTGGAAAAGGATCCGATGTGCAGCTCAAAGGTTGCAAGTCAAAATTCTTGTGTTTTAACAAGTCAGTCTCCACGCAAACTACTTTCTGGATTATTTAAGAATATAATCACTACTTAACTGCCAATTTAAAGTGCAACTGTGATTTTAGTCTGATGATAGTGACAGAGAGTAAAAATTTCATTACAATATGTATGACTTAAATACATCATTACTGAGTAAAAACAGTACTCAGAATTTTGCTAATTTTCATGTAATTTTTAATTAAAGCTACATAATGAAACATACACATAAGAGACAGAGTTGCGTTGCGCTTGGAAACTTACCTGTGGCCTTTTAGACCTCTGAGGACCACTAAAGTGCAACTGCAATATTTTTAGCACATCTGAATGAAATTTAGGTTGCTGAAATGAAGTACTTGGAAGGTACTAAGATTGATAAATAACACTGTATTGGAGACCAATATGTCAGTAATTCCTCTCTGTACACTACCAGTGAGAACACATCTACAATTTGAGTATAATTATGGAAGTAATATATCAAGGAGAGTCAGAGAAACAGAGGACTGGGGAACCTGACATGTCAAAAGAACTAATGGGACCTAATTTTTCCAAAAGCACAGAAAACTCTCCCATTTTTTGAGAGTTGATGGGAGTGAAAGCAATAGCTGTTCAGTATCTCCTAAAATTATGATGTGGATGGAGAGAAATTGCCTAATGCCAGTTAAAAGAACAATATAACTGATGGAAATTGTCTACAGTTGTCCAAGATGGTACATGCAATAAGCTAAAACTGAGCAAAGGTACACGTACTTTATAAATAAGGGAGCACTGTCTAAATGTTCGATTTGTTAGCCACAGGATAACCACAAGCCAGGTGAAGTTGTGGAAACTTCAGAACTGGTGTCCTTTAATGCTGCTCTGCAGAAATTTGGCCTATAAAGTATGTTCTAGTTCAGCGTTGGCAGGGAGATACATAAGGTAGGATGTATACTCCTTTTCTAACATCTCTGATTCTACGGCTACATAAAGTCAACCAATTCACCCAAACCTCCACCCCCCCCAAACCTGAACCAACGGTAAATGCCTAAATAAGAACAGACAAAACAGAAGTTACACACCAAGAGGCCACATATTCTATCTATGTGCTCTCACAGAGGCTGCTAGCACTCGTTAGCTGGTTATTGCAGATATTACAAACAGAGAAATCAGTGTTCACCTTTGTTGGCCAGGGTAACGATTAGGAGAGTACATGCTTGGGTCACTGTTTGAAGGCACCATGTTGCTTTGACCAGGTGGTGCCATACTGCCTTCAGGACCCAGCCCATGATCCGACCTAAAAAATGACAAAGGAAACCTCATTCTGTAAAAAGCACTTATTCTCCAAACTTGCCAACAAAATAAAGCAAAACACACCCCTTAAAGAAAACATTCTCTTGACTTATCATGTTCCACTGGAACCCTTACTCTCACTGGCTTCCCAGCAACGTGACCTGATGAACAACGTGATTACACTTGTGTTACTCTACACATCTGCTACTTCAAACTACTGACTGAAAACTGCTCCACCATTACACTTAGAAGACCCACGGTGCACCACTTTGGCTACCATCAGGAAACAAGAAGTGAAGCTAAAGTACACAGCCTAATGCAAGGGAAAGTAGGAATATAGCCAGAGCTGTAAACATTCCCAAACCATTCTGCTTACTATATCAATGCTTAGACATCAGTGATTTTACTGATTTTTTTTTCCCCTAAAGCCTCTCCTGGGATAAACAAAAGAGGATCAAATTTATTTTGCGTACTTCACTGAAAGACAAACTTAAGAGGGTACTGATGGACGCACTGCAAGACTGGTGCCCCTACAGCTCAGACAACAGACTCCAGACTCTCCAAAAGCAATTCTCCAACAGACCACAAACCAGACATATTTAAGCTGTGCATTTTGTTTTTCATAAAAAGCCCACCAACAACTGTTTAGGTGAAAACATGGCCAGAATACTAACTCAAGTGCTACCTTATGCCATCACAGCCCAGCCCAGCAGCCCGCTGAAGGCAGCTGTCAAACACACCCACATGCTGAACTGCTGCAGCTTGAGTGACTTCTAAGGTGTGACAATTCCTCCTTATTAATTTCAATGAACAGCTAGACTCAGTCATTACCAGCGGTTCGGTAAGATGTTGTAGGAAATGTAGGCTGCTATGTTCTCTGCAAGGCGCAATGGGAAAATGAGAAGGGGAGAGAGAAGATCACTTTCACTAATGGGCTTTGCTTTTTCCTGAAGATTGACTCACCTCCTGTCATAGCCGCTTCCATAAGAGAACTGCTGCCGCTGGCTCATGCTCATGTTGGACATCGCTCCAGATGGACTCTGGTTATACATATCTTGTATTCCACTGTTAGGCATTTGTCCAGGGGTCATGAAAGGCTCATTGCTTCCAGGCACTGCAACAGTAAGGGAAATTAAATATATTATTCTGGGTGTTTGAAGAAATCTTTCTATTAAATGATGTATTTTAAAATAATGTTCAGATCCCTAACACTGCCAGGGAGAATTAGCTGGTGTCTGACAAGCTCTCCAGGGTCTGATGAAAACACATGGAGCAGCACCACTACCAAGATGATGGTTATAATATTAAGGGGCTGCAAGCGAGGCAAGTAATCTCATCCTGTGGAAGGGAGCTCAACAGGCACCAGGCAGCTTCTTCACAGCTGAAGATGAACTCGTTCTTGTTCTTTTCACCCCAAACAATGCTAAATATGAACGCAAACATAAACCTTACAAAACAGATGAAAGCGAATCTCCTAGTCTGGATTACAAAGCTGTAAGAATCAGGCTCTTCTTTTTCCCATAAAGTCCTCATACACACATGCATACCATAATTTAGTTATGGAAAGGATACTGTATCCTAATGTAGCTTCTTGAGCAGGACGGGCATATTCTACGCATCCAAGAAAAGGCTTATTGACAACTATTATCAGATATAAGTCCCCAAGCAAATAGAGGAAGAGACTCTATCCTTTAGTCCCTCACAGTAGATCCTGAACAGAGACATTTCTGTTTTGACAGGATAAACGTGAAATGCACGACAAAGTGCAATAAACCCACTTAATCTCACATGGATATAAAACCCAAAATAAATCTAAAGCAGAGAGAGTTTTCTCTTCCTCCAACTGTGTTATGCTAGTGTCCACAGTCCAGGCAAAAGGATTTAAAGGGAAGGGTTAAAAAAAAGTCACATCAGATTAACTATCTCTTTTAAAGCATCTCCCCACTTCATCACATATCTTTTTTCCTCTGTTTTCTGGACCTCTTCTTCCCATTCCTCCCTTTTGCTCCCTTTCAGTTTCCGCTTTCTTAATTTCATCTCCTCCATCTGCTCTTCTCTTTGCAGCCATCGTGAGCCCTGCTTGTGTTCTTTCCTCCCACTTTCCTATATATGAGGCATGCAAGATTGATTCATTTTAAGCATATTTTACAATATCTACAAAACCATCTGTAGGTTAAGGGCCCAAAAAGACAAGAGTCAGTTTTGACAGTAATTTTAATTTTTGCTTTCTAAAAATAAACAAACTTTGAGTGTGTTTATCACCTTTTGTCAGGGGCTGTTCAAGTGAGAAAAAAAATAGCTTTCCTATTCTGAAAAATATGTAAACTGAGACAGAGAGCATTAGGAGACTTGCTCAGTTCCACACAATGAATTCCCAATTCAGCCCCACTACAAGCAGGCATGCTGCTTCACCACTTTGCATCCTAACACTGAATTACAGCATCTGATTTGCAGAGTAGCTAACCACCTTCATGAAACCATCGCACGAAATCTAACCCTGTGAATTTATGCCATTTCCTGAAATGTATTCCTACAAGAATTTTTAGGATTCTGTTAAGTCTAAAATAAACAGTGTGACTCTCTGAGAGGGGAAAATATGACCAGACCAGAATGAACCACAATTGCACAGCACCTCTGTTTTGGCTGCAAGGATACCACTTTACCAATGGCAAAATCAGCAAAGTAAAAAAGCTCATTCTGATGACTAGAACATCTTGATTACACAGAAGTAGGGAAGAACACTTAAACTCTCACAAAGAAAATACCTTTTCTCATTCCACCGAAAGGATCTTTATTCGGCTCATATGGCATCCTTCCCATCATATCTGGCATGTTTATTCCCTGCTGATATGGTGCATTTGGCGTCATGGAGTTTCGCTTCGGGAATGCTGAATCACTTACATCAGAAAAGGGATCATGCACACTAACTGCGCTGTTCCTAGCAGATGAGAAAAAGGAGGCATTAACATCATCATGTATTCATAGGAATTGTGAAAACAGACTGGACTATAATACACCTGACCCACGACGCTGTGGCAGTGATCAGTGCAGGATACACCTGAGGAAGATGCAAAAAACTTTCACAACGGACAATCATTAAAAAAATCTACCCATTTTTTCCCCCAAGCTTATCCGGCTACTTACCTTAAAGATCAGGGGTTTTAATCTAATTCAACTGTGCGTGTTCCTGGTACCCATATAAAAGTCTAAACCTTTCTGAAATTTCACTAAGCTGTTTGCCTCAGTACCCCAAGGCAGTGAGCTCCTGATAATTATATGCTGTGTCAAAATGGTATTACTTTTTATCAGTTTCATATTTATTCCCTTTCAAATTTACCAAGCACACCACTGCTCTCCTACTAGAGGAAAGACTAAATAGCAACACTTGATTTACCTCCCAAATACCATTTATTGTTATGGAGAAGCACTAACTTTTATGGTTGCAGCCAGCTTTATTCTGAAGCCCTTAACAATTTGGCTTTGAAAATGGAGTTTCCCTGATAACTATCAGATTTATTCTTAATGCAAAAGAAAACTTTTTACATAGTGAAAGAAAACTGAATTAAAGATGATTAAAGAAGGTTCTTGTTATCCTTTCTGCAGAATTACAGACAGAGAAAAAAAGAACCTAAGTATGTTAAGTTCGGAGTGACTCTGTACATAGTTCAGAGCTCAGCTACGTTGCTGCTGAAGTCAACAAGAACTTTTTTATGCGGGACTTCAGTGGATCCTTAATGAATGGTGAGAAGGCTTCACTTCAGATTAAGCCGGTTTGTGTGACTTACAGGATATAGAACTGAAAGGGATTTCTTGGTCCATTTAGCCGAATCCTCTGCTATCTCAACCACTGTTATTATATATGCTTGTCATAATTTGAATTTAAGTAACACCTTAAAACGACACATTCCTCCTTCCTGAGCATGAATGTGTGGACGTGTATAGTAGCGGAGGACAGGGTAAGGAAGGAAAGGAAGATTCTGGTTCTAAGTTGGTGCTGCCGGGTTTCACCTTCCTCCCCGCTCTTCAGAAATTCACATGCCCCACTTTGCACTTGTGCTTGTCTGATCCTTCTCTGGTGTTTAGAAAGCTAATGCAGCTCCTACTCCTTCCTCCCTTTCCCTCTCTCCCCTCCAAAAAGAAATAATTTTCTGATGCTTTTGAGGCTCTGACCAGTTCACCACAGAATGAGTTCCTGAGCAGTTGGGAAAGGGAAAGGCTGGCTTAAACTGTTGTAGAACTACAGCCCAACAAAAAAATGAAGCATACCTGCCACCCTGCATAGGTGTCATCTGTCCATGAGGTGTTGATGCTGGTGTTGGGGGCTTCAAATCGCCTGGCACTTCTGTCATGGAATTACTACCAGTAGACTGTGGAGTCTGTGGGCCTTGCAAGGAACCAGAATTAGCTGGGAAATCAAAGGAGAAGGACATATTAAAAGATGGCAGCCAAATTCCTGTGGAAATAATAATCATCAAGGAGAGAAACTGGTTCTTTCCTCCATAAGCCTGCTTATACCATGCATCTCAGTACTTTGTAACTTCCCCCAAATCCTCTGAGATCAGGATATGCTGTGCAGTAATAGACACCATCTTTCCTAGAACTATGAATTTAATCTGCTGCCTGAAGCAACATGAATAGAAATCATCTAGATGAAGGATCATTTAAATCAGAGGTCAGAGATACAAAGTTAATTGTCTATAGTTTACAACAGAGTAAATGAAGGTTGTTCTTTTGGCACAGCTTCTTTACATAATCACTATCACAACACATATGTTTATAACACGAATTTCAGCCTTAAATTCACAAATTTAAGCTGCTATATTAATATAAATTCATAATTTCATTTACCACTAAAAGGCAGACACATCCATGACGAGCACGGCAAATGGTTAGTGGCACACTGCAACACTATGCCATCTTTGAGACAGCATTGCAAAAGATTGTATTTAAGAAATGCAAAAGGCCATCGGGGATAAGAAGAAAGCAATCAGTGAAAGTAGAATTTGAACAGGATGCTATAGCTAACACTGCTAATAAAATTGTAAAAATAGCAATAGACATCCTAACAAAATGTAGTTAGGGTCACTGAAGAGCATATGTAACAAGACCAGGTCAATGCTGCAAAGCATCTGTTTCATCTGCAAAAACTTGTACGTTGAGATCTCAGAAAGCACCTGCACTACTGTCCTCCTTAACCATGGTGAATAGCTATATTCTTGATATGACAGCAAACATAGAAAAGGGTGTACTGCTCTATTTCGATGAGACTGAGCAGTAATAAGGGCATTAAATGAATAAATCATATAAGCTAATGATAAAATATACCAGACCAGTCTTTTAAAGTAGACACTGAAGTTATTATTTTCATGTGACTACTGAGGAGAAACACCCCCAACCCCAAAGATCTGACATAGTGGTTTTCTGATTTAGAAGCTGGGAAGTGGGAATTAGTAAAAACGTCTCAGCCTTGGATCTGATTGCCCTTGCAGCAGAAATTCTACCCAAGGAGAACTTGTAGGATTCAAATCTTTAGATGCAACTGGGAAAAAAAAATACCAACAGAGAAAATTCACAGATCTAATAGACTCAGAAAGACATGACTTTGGCTTGAGAAGTCCTTCTTTTTTTATGAACTGTCATGTAAGTATTTTATAGGGCCTGACTATCTACGTTCGACAACCAATTAACAAAACTTTATAAATTACCGTTAGAGGGAAAACTGGAAGAAGCAGTATGGGCTTTTCTTCCGTGTGTGAAAGAGAGAGTAGTTTATAATTGACTCAGAATCCTAGAACACTCATCATCTTGACAGGCAGAGCTTGTTTTTAACTGAAGAACACCCTTTTTATATGTGTTTCATTTCTATCTGTAACACATGTTCCACTATCTGGAAACCAGTCTCAGTAGCAAGTGCACATGTAAAATCCACATTGTGCAGACCACATTGTTCTTGTCCTCAGCTTTCTGAGGCATGTTTGGATTATGCTCACATACTAATGAGGTTCAAAAGAAGTTTAAGAAAAGCTCTCTGATTGCATTAATACAGTAACAACAACATTTGCAACAACTAATGCTACAGTTGACTGAAGGCTTTAGTGCTATAATAAAACAAATCCATATGATAATAAAAAACCATCCTGTTCACATAAAATAAGCCCCTTGTATATATCACCCCTGAGTAAGCCAGGATCATTCTCCTGCCCTTGAGCTTTAAACACAATTCTAGATTACTTCTAAAAAGCTTGAAAGGAATTCTGAGTTAAGCCACACATTGTCACATACCATCTTGTTATATTAGAAACATGTAAGTAAACATCTTAGTGTACCCATATACTTATTGTAAAGTATGATATTGCCTAACCCTGCGTATTTCTCTTACCTTGGGCTATTAAGCATCCATTAAGTTCTTCCCTATCCTACCTGAGCAAAAACTTACTTTGTATCTAAAGTAAACCTAAAGAAAACAAGTAAAATATTTTTTCAGTATTTATGGACTGCATGAATATAGAATCTTTATTATGAATAACAATGTGTTGTATATAATCTTCTTGGATAAGGAAAGGTTTAAAAGCAAAAAGAAGATAGCCAACTGAGAAGCTACAAGTCAAATTTCTGCTGGGTGGTTGGTTATTTTTCCTCCACCTCTTTCTAAATGACTGCTTATGAACAGCTGAAAAAATGGAAGGCAAATGCTATCTTGAGAAGTGCGAAGTTTCAGGCACTGCTTTGTTAATGTGGTTTGCTCTTGACCTCCATTGGGTCAGTGACACTTCTACAGAATAGGAACTGCAAGTGTTTCAATCTCTGGATTAGGTCATCAGCTACTAAGAAGAGCCCAAGCGTGGATATAACCTACAAGCAACCACAGACAATTATTTCTATGTCACACACTCACAGGTCTCACTGAATAGTTCATCTACATTTTAGCAAGAGCATCAATGTAAATCGCACATTCCTACAGAAATAATAAGATAAGTACGTACTCTTAATAGTTATTGTTGGTAGAGCAGGAAGAATTTTTTAAGCAACTTAACTTTCTCTTGTAGGATGTAATTTTCAGTACGTTTGCCAAGCTTCAGCCAATCATCAGGAAGTCATCCTGATGGATATTCCCCTTACGCTAACTTGTGGAAATTTTCAGCTGTAACTGTCCAGCTTTTCTTAACAATATGCCTTTGAAAATATATGGTCCTCTTCTGTTGTCCCCAAAAGAGGAATATTTTTCTGTGAGTCATCCAAGCCAAGTATATATTTGGTCACCTTTTTCACACACAGCGCCAGTGGTCCCTTCATTGTTTGAAGAAGAGGCTTGGAGGTTGGGGACAGGCCTGTGACAGGGAAAGTAGTCTTCCTGTTCCAGTGTTTATCCTGATTTGGTCAAATCAATTTGTGAAAAATACTTGTTTTTATATAGAGATTATTAGCTTGCTATACATTCACTGCTTGGTTTTTTGAAGATCCTGTTTGTACTTATTTCAGGCTGGGGGTGAGCAGGAGTCTCACTGTAATTCAGCTCCTGGGTTGATCAGGGCAGTCTTGAACGTGGAGTCGAGCATGAGAACCTATAGCCAGGAAGCCACCCCACACAAGCTCTCATGGTTACAACTGGAGGTTGGCAAACAAAGGTAAGGCCATAGGGTTTCTGACCATCAACAGAAAAGGAGAATAGGAGACTAACAAGGGGACTGGGAACCTGGAAAGGAGATATAGATGCTGCTGAAATCAGATTAGAATCTGAGAAGTCTGAAGTTGGATGGACGTGGTGCTATAAAACAGGGAACACCAAGAAAGCCTAGAAAATGTACCTTATGAGAGTTAAAGTGCAGGGAAAGAACCATAAGTGGCTAGATAAAGAGGCAGAGAGTCCAATACTGCACTTAGGAGTGAAATTAAATTTTGCAAAAGAGGTTCTTAGATGGGTGGTTCCTTTTCTCAGAGAGTCTGTTTAGAGATGCTGTTTTCCAGCTGTGCAGAACATGTAAAGCAACAGATGAGATCACTTAAAGGGCTATACATGCCAAAACTTAGAAAACTGGCACCTAGAATTAGCACATACTCATGTTGTAAATTTTTTGGTAGCCCAGTTCCTCTTCTGTAGAATGGGAATCATAGTACTTTCCCTCTCAGATGGGTATTGCAAAAGCTGATTAATACTTTTTAAAGCCCTCAAATACATTTGTAGTGAAGACAAGAAAAACCAAGGAGTAAATTTATAACTCCCTGTTTGAGTCTGGTTGAAAACTATGGCACAAGTAAAGGGCTGTGTACTGAAAAGTGAGGATAACACAAAATACTGAATAGCTCCTCATCCACTGAGTAGTGTTCATTCCATGCACTGAATGACACAGACTTTTCATGGAAAAAATGTCAATGTTACTGCGTAATTAAGAGTCGATTGAACTGTATATGCACAAGGAAACATAATTAAGGTTGCAAAGATTCTATCTCACTTCTGGCATTTCCTAACCTTTGAGCACTTCACTCTGCATCAAAGCAATATACCTCAGTTTTTGGATAGAGCATGTGCACACAGGTGCCTGCATGCACACATGTTAAATGCAAACTAGTTACGTTCTCTCACACATACATTTTACACACATTGCTATTTGCAATGTTTTCTAGTTAAAGAATATGAAAACAACCCTCTTCTCTGTAGGAAATTACCATATTAGTTTCATGTTTCACCTTAAATTTTACACTTGTTAAGCTGCTCTCTGAAATTTTTACATCTGTCCTTGCAGGGCTTTATTATGGTAGATGTTTAATTTTGACTGGGGACACCCTGGAATAGAAAACGTATCTTTTAAAGTGCTTTATAAGCTTCACTATTAAGCAAAGAACTAAGAAGGAAGACAAACAACAATTTTCTTTTAGAATAGCTTACATGATCCTGCAGCTGACTTAAGGATGTACGGGAAAAACCCTGAGTGTACATAGCTACTGAATTCTTCATCTTGCATCCACATCTAAGCAACACTTGTCTTTCAAGTGTCATAACAGATTTGTAAGAATATGCTTTTAACAATAGAAAATCCATCCAAAATGAAATAAAATGAACATCTTTGTCACTGAGAAGGTGAGGTCCTACAAACTCTTCCACAGTTCACTCAACGGCATGCGTTATTTTCAGCAGCATGGAATTATAGCACTGGCATGGCTTTTTCCTTGCAAAGCCTGCATGGCAGTAAGTACTACTTTCAGGAAAGACCCTTTATTTACCAGAACAGAAATACGCAGTAAAAAAAAAATAAAAATCTTTCTCTTGCCAGTAATTTTTTCCCTTCGGGGGAAAAAAAAAAAAGAAGAATGCAACCTCTTGAAACTCCATTAATATGAGGCCTGACATGCTCTCTAGGATATCCCTACCTTTTGCCAGAAGCTACAAATGTATACTCTAAAGTAAAC